CCCATCCAGGGGGGAGTAGAAATACTCCTAGTCGCGTCATGCTACAGAAACCGGGATAAGCTCCGGCCTGATGGGCCACTTGGTTCGCATGCAGACTTTTTTTTCAGTCTGACGCGGCGTTTCGTCTCGGCCGAGAGACTCTTCAGAGACCTTTAGAATTCATAGGCAAACTCGTCCTTCTTCAATGGAATCTGACACTTTAATTAATTAATGATTTTCTGACAGTAGCTTGTGTCCGTGAGCTTGCAGGACAATAGCTTTCTCTAATATCTGGAGTGACTGACATATTTATTTATTTTATGTTTTTCAGGTTAAAGAAATGCTAGCTATTCTTGAAGAAGCAGGAAATAAATACAACGTGGGTATCAAGGAACCTGAGCTGCTACTGCCATTGCCCCCTGCTTCTTTCCAGAGATTCTTGAAGTCAAACGACAAAATCCCAGGAATTGTTTTAACAGACCATGAAAATAAGTATAACAACAAGTAAGAAACATAACATCGTCTGATTTCTTGAACCCTTCTTTTTTTCCAACCTTCTAATAACTTGAACCAAAAGCCATTTTTCTCCCCTCAGTTGAACACTGTAATTTTATCCCCGATTTCTCAAACTACCTGATTTGTCAACAAACCAATTTTCATTTCCTTTGGAGGTTCAAAAAACTCGGGATTCCATTGTAACTCTGTCTGGCCAGATCCAGGTCCCCTATATCCAGACACAATATTATGTAAAACACAGCAGGTGAAACTATTTGTAGTGCCTCAGTTACTGCACATATCAAAAACAATTTTCATTGGTTCCAAAACAATTTGTAACATCATGGCAAGAGGCCATTTCTGTCGCTACCTCCATCATTTGGGAGCCTTAGCAAACCACAATGGCAACGGCGACGACAACGAGAACGTCATGAAACAAAAGGTTTAATGAGGTGAACAATGGTTCTGCGCAAACGTTTTAAATTTAGGTACATTTCTTACCCATCCTCTGCAAGACAACAACGTGAAATGACCAAGGTCTATGTATTTTGGAGAACGTGAGTTCACTGCAATGGCTAATTTTTCATATCTTCCTTTGGAATTGAACACCGTCACTGTATATTTAGACTGAGCAAGTTTTTAGATTGATAGGCACTGAACAGATCTACATACTTGGGACATTCAAAGGTAAAATTTAAATCCATTTTTTACAAGTCACCGTCATCATTGCTAAAGCTCCCTATTATCGGTGAGAAAAAGCTACAACACGTCTGAAACTGGTACTGTAGAAAGTACTTTTTATTACTGATTGTATAAAGAGTAACATTTTAATAGTCTGGTGGCCTGATATATTAATAAGCCTCCTCTATTTATGAGACAATTCCAAGGCAACTGGCATTCAGATTAATTTTGTCATATTAAACGAAGGCAGTAGAGAAGTTAACATATTGATTTTTTCCGTTCAGATTTTACAATAGTCGTTTTGATGATCTTTACCAAGTGGGAGGAAATTACTCTAAGGAGAAAGACACAGTTTACCTTATCACAGAATTTACAAAGGTATTCCTTCTGTTCTTGTAAAACACATTTATTTGTTGCTTAAACACAGAACTAGAAACCATAACAATTTGCCCTCAGCCAGATCTAATTTCATTTGGCAGAAGAGTTGAAATCTCATTCTTACTGTCTAACAGAAATAATAAGAGCCCTATGAAAGTTGTGCCATCAGCTTGTCTCAGTCCGAGATATGTTATGTGATGTAGGGACATCCGTAGTCAAAAGTGTGTTGTTTACCACTGAATTTGTTAGGTGTAGGAGATGTGATTGCTAGATGATTACAGTGTTGGACCCTGGATTGAGAGTTTGGAACAAAGGCCCCCTGCTGGGATCCCTGTGTTGTGTTCTTTTGCAAGACACATAGCTCTCACAGAACTTCTTTCTACCCAGAAGTATAATAGGTGTCTGAAATTAGTATTAAAGGCTTACAGACAGAAAATAACCTGGCGAGGGGAATTGACTTCTGGTAAATGAGCACCCCATCTACTGTAGGAGGAATAACCACACTTCAAGACACTTCATCTCACAGAATCTCTACCTCTTCTGTCGATAGGTTGGTAGTAGAATTAACCTGCCTATTGATCAAAGTTATTTGTCTCTTACAGAAACTCACCAAAATCTCCTCAACAGTAGCTACAGCTCTATACACGCTCGCCAATGATGGAGACCCTCCTAAGGATGATATCAAGGCAGATGACGCACTGGTGAGTGTCACGTAACTGAGAAACAACCATTCATTGCGTGACAAGCCATTATAACAAGCAGCACTCTTAGAACTTCGCAGCCCTTATTTAGGCTCACATGGGGCGAAGCGTTGCGTGACAATTTAGGTAACGGCTATGAAGAAGACTGTGTATTTATTTATTTGTTTTTTTTTTTCTTTTCCAATAGGTTGGTCACCTTGTTTATTGCCTGTTCAACCGCTCCAATTGCCCTCTATATCATGAAGTTTCTGATAGCAATAAGACATGGGGTAAATTTAACACAAGTAAGTACTGATGATAACCAGAAAGCCCACATATGTCTAATCAGCACAATCAGATCGGTTCCGTATGATAAATGTTAGACAGGTATACCACCTCCCCTAGTAAAAGAGTGCGCTCTCGTGTCAAAGAGTTACTTTCTGGTGGGAAAATAAGCCGTCGCCGTAATGGTTTCACTGCAAATTTTCACAAACATGTATTGTCATGTTTACTCGATTAAGGGCCGCCTGCGTCAGCGATTAAGCGCCGCCTGGGTGTGATTGAGCGCCGCCTAAGAGAGCAAAGAGTATTAAAGAGCGTCTCCCTCGAATAAGCGCCGCATGTGCTCCGAGGCATTATCAGACTGAACTGTTGAAGGAGTCCAATTTAAAATCAAGTATGGGACAACTCAGTATATACCTGAAATTTATTCTCCTGGACAACAATGCTTTTCAGTTCCAAGTGGCTTTATTTGGTTGTTAGTATTCGCTTGTTATTATATGGCTAGCTCCGTGAGCGGGCAAGATGAATCAAATCCTGCGCTGTTATTGGCTACCCAAGCGGGCAAGATGGAGCTATCTTGCCCGCTCGGGACTACCCGCCGTGTCCCACAAGAAAAATTTCCCCGAAAGCCATNATGGCTGGATATTGGCCTCGTTCTTTTTTTGCGAGTTTATGGACCGAGACGGAGTCGAGGTCCATAAACATGCAAAAAAAGAACTTGGTCAATATCCAGCCATCTTGACCTCACACTTGGTCAATAACTCATACTTATTGTTTATAAAGGTTTTGATTTTTCATAGAGCGTAGCCCTCAAATAAGCGACGTCACGGGCACCCTCCCTCCCCCCCTCCCCTCCCGAAAATGCGCCACAACCAAAACACTAAAAATACAAAGAGCTTTGGTACGTAATTGAGTTAATATGGTAGTGGCGCTATCGAAAACACACGTTCACAAAAAAAAAAAGATGGAAAGTTTTGATAAACGTGTAGTTTAACAATGAATTTTTCTATTCCAGCGTCCAACAGTTTAAAACCGTTTTCACGTTACGTAAGCGTCAACGGTACAAGCAACGCTTTGACACAAACCATTTATCGCGTTCTATTGTATTTCACTGGTTATCACTTTCCCAAGAGCGAAGATTGTTCCGGTTCTGCGGGTGTTGCTAGTGCTACAATATTAGGAAAGGATCTGCAAGGCATTTGTGTGAAAGGTTCTGTTTTCCTGTCACCCGCTGTGTCTCCAGCATTTCTCTTGGAACAGTACGATTCAACTGAATATTCGACATGGGCTGAAAGCACGTAAGTACTGCTTATTGTGCTGAGCAAGGTGACAGGGACGGCAGAGCCGGGGGGGGGCTGGGGGGGCATTCAAAATACGTTCCGCCATCCCTGTATCATCATCATCATCTTTATTTAAAAACACGGTAAATACATCAGGCATTAACAATTTAATACAAGCTACAACTTATTACGAAAGACTGTGTATACAGATTAATCTTCTATAATCTAAAAATATGGCTAACTATTAAAGAAAAGTAAACTAAATTAAAGCCTGTTTTACGTGAATGCCGTGTCGGAATTGATTAACAATCGTCGGAAATTAGTCAGAGATGTTGCTTGCCTAGCAGCTGAGGGTAAACTGTTCCAGAGGACTGCACCACTATAGCCAAAGCTATTTTTGTAATGGTTAGTACGTGGCAAGGGAATAGCAAGCTTATTATCAGAATCGCGCAAATTGTAAAAAGTAATCACATCACTTCGCTGAATGAATTTCGAGGACAAATAATTGGGTGCGAGGCCATTTAAGGACTTATAGACCATCTCAGCCGTTAGTTTTTGCACATACCTTTGAAGTCTGAGTATGAAGCCCTAGTGTGTGGCCATTCAAATGAAAGTTATTGAGCAGTACTTTCATGTGGTACTGTTTATTATGCTGTATAACGTGGTTCTAACTTTTAAGTCTGTATATGAAACCCTAGTGCGTGACCATTCAAATGAACGCTATTGAGCAGTACTTTCATGTGGTACTGTTTATTA